GATCCCGTGATTCGCAATCCCGATCCATTGTCAAGTTCGAATTTGAAAAATATCCGAAATTAGGTAAGATCTCATCCAATATTGATTCGTATATTCTATTGCCTAATTTGATTGGTTTTGTTATCTGTTATAGAATTGTTGCTATCTTTGAGTAATTATGCATATCTGCAAGATTTTAAAAATCACCCAAGTTAGGAAAGGACAACGTGCTTGGATAGCGGTCCGATTTCTAACCACGGGATACAATACCCGATGGCACGGAAAATCTTTTATCCTATCCATAACCACTTGGATATGATCGTTGATTTATTTTGTTTCCAAATTTAAACGAAAGCTTTCCATCAATATCCATAACTACTTGGATATGATCGCTGGTTTATTCCGTTTTCAAATCTAAACACATAACACAAATTTTGTGGATTGCGTGGATGCGTTGATGGGTGTTCATCTTTTAATTGATTTGTCTCCCCATAAAAGAAAATACAAAAAAATATATAATGATAGATTAGGTTACATTTTGTTAAATAGCCTTGCATGTTTAGATAGATTTTTTTTAGATAATCTTAGATTAAAATCATGCTAAATAGAGTTTTCCTGTTAAGTTAGGATATTTTGGATATATTGCAAATTTAGTAGATTTTAGGACATTAGAATTATATTCCGATTTAAATTAGGATTTAACGTAGATTGTTTCCTAGTTTAAGTTAGACATTATTATAATCTTGATAGTTCACTAAGGATAATTTTTTATTTCGAATTTAATAAAAAATACCAAAAAAACATAATCTTGGAATAAATTAGATTTCTTATATGATAGATTGCATATTAGGGAATTTAATTAATTCTGAATTTCGTGAAAAATACCAAAAAGAAACATGTGCTTTTCATGCTAAAATAGTTTAGGTCATTTAATAAAGGTTGCATGTAATGTTAGGATAGGCGCATTTTTGTACGTCATTGCATATAGGTAATTAGAAAGTGAAACTCCAAAAAATATTGAGTAGAATTGCGTGTTGATTAGAAATTATATTTGGGATGTCAATGTGATTTTCTAGCTAATATTGCATATGCTTACGTTGCTTCGAGATAAGTAATTCTTCCCTTTCCTTGCAATTTATTTATTGCTTTGATTATTGAGAGTTAAATGATCACCTCATGTGTTAGGCGATAATAAAATCGATTCAAGTTGCCTGCATAAATATTTTTTATGAAAAGAAAAGGTACCGAAAGGGCATTAGAGTAATCTAGCGTAATCAAGTCCGTGAATTCATAATCTCTGGTTCATAGGAGTAAAGTAATTTCCTGATATTTTACTTAGGTTTCGAATTGACCCACCATAAACTGATTAATGGCGACTCCTAATTGTAATAATTTGCATGTTAAGAACTTGAACCATAAGTTATAAATAGGTAAGGGCTTGGGAGAGCCCGAGTTAAGTCTAGGCTTAATAATCCATTAGCCGAACTCCTAGGTAGTGTACCCCGAGCTAAGGTCACGACATTGTCAATGGCACTTAAGCGAATGATTTTTCAAATTTGTGGCACTTATGAGATCGATTTTTTAAATTTGTGACACTTAAGTGAGCGAAAAAAATTACAAAAATCTTCTACGTTAGTGTCGCTGGTGCCATGTAGGACGATCGAGCCCACATCAAATTTTCCGGCGAGGTAAATTGCCGATGGCACTTAAATGATCAATTTTTCAAATTTGTGGCACTTAAGTGAGCGCCGTACGAAAGTTATGGCATTCTTGCTATTCTTATCCTCTTCAAACAATGTTGCATAGATGTTTTCTCTATTTTGGAAAGGTGTCAATGTCTCATAAAAAAAAGTGAAGTAACTTAGCATTCATTGCCCGCCGCAAATTATGCAACAGAAATTCTGAATAATTAAGACTAATATACAAAAATGATCTGCAAAGTCCAAAATGATCCTCTGCAGTTGAGATGACTACACCATTTGCAGTTAACTTGAAAAAGAACAAAACACCCTCAGCATTTGGTGAATTACCCAATTCTAAACTCAAATCCCATACTTATCTCCCCTCTCTCTCCCCCCATCCACCGGCGCGCTGTCATCGCCTTAGCAGAACACCTCCGCTGCTACTCCGTCCTTCTCATGTAACATCCCGAATTTCGACCCATTTCCGGGATCAATGAAATCGATATTATTCTCATTTAATTTTAGTAAGTCTCGCCCGGAATTGATCAATCGCGGGATACTAACCAATAAGGAATGGCTAACTAGGAAAACGGTACTTGGACCAGGGACCCGATCGCGAATCGGGCACCGATTCCGAGAAACGACAAGGAAAAATTTTGGGCCAATGTAGGCCGATCCTAGGAAGGTGACGGATTTAGTTTAGCCAATGACGTACAGTCGGATCGCGGGTGATTCCGCACGACCGAGAGTACGCGTGGCGAACAAATCCCGAACTTAAACCTAACGATCACGACCTCCGGAACTAGCGATAATTCCTCGCGTTCTCCCAGTAATCGAGACCGTCACGACTCGAGTAACCCTAGGTCGATACGCGTAACCCCTGAATAGCCGCCCGTTAGTGAGAGACCCTAAAATTGTAATTGAGCAATTTTGATCGCGAAATTGGATCCGGACTTAGACGTCGAATTTCGTGGACGTGCGCGACTATTTTGTGAGGACGACGTCATTTTAGTGTGGCCAAATATATTTGGGATTAGTACGGTCAAAAAATGGAAACTCGGCCCGAAATCGGAAAATGACGATTTTGCGCCTAGGCCTATTTTGGTATTCCGAATTTTTGGGAGGTTATTTTGGGGATTAAAGTGGATAAGATTAGCCCCAATAATTCAGATTTTTTATGGTCTAAATTGCCCTTGGATATTTTGAGTTAGGATTATGTGAACCAAGTGAGAGAGGGGTAGGATGGGAATTAAGGAAAAGTTGATCAAACCCCTTGGACTAATAAATGCCCTTGTCTCTCTCTCATTCCTCCCTCTACCTCATTCTCCACCGGCCATCTCCCTTCCCATTCTCTCTCTCCCTCACCGAATCCATCCTCCTCTTTCTCTCGGCCGTGTGAGCCGCCGGAGCAAGCCATCGCTGCCGCCGCCGCTCGCCCGCCGTGCGCCACCATCACCACTCCGTCCATTCTCTCTCTCTCCGACTCGTTTCGTCTCTCTTTCTCTTCCGTCGGCCGTGAGGATCACGCCGGATCAGCCCCCTTCGGCCGTGAGCCGCCGTTCGCCGTTCAAGCCGCCGGTCGCCGTCGCTAGGCTGCCGCTTGGACCGCTCGTTTTCCCCTTCCAATCAGCTAAGTGGAGCTTAGGTAATTAGGTGAGTAAATTATCCCTAAACCATAATTAGGCTTCCAAGCATTTCTAGATAGGTTTAGGGTGTTTTAGTGGTTAATTAGGTGATTTAGGGATTGATTAGTGGACTATGGATTAGTGGATATTATGGTGATAATTTGGGAAACCTAGTGGAGTATTTGAGGATGATTTACATGTCCGAATTGATCAAAGTAGTGGCTGTCCGTGTTGCGATTAATTAGCCTAAGTCGGGTGATTTAGAGTTTAGTGGTGGAAATCCCCGAGCTTGTTTCGTTTGGTTGATGCAATGGCTAATTGTGCTTATTTGGGATCAAAATTATCATGCCATGCCGTGTGGTAGTGTGGCTGAGTGTTGCGCGTATGATTGGCCCTTTGTTTGGTGTGAATCCTAGCCATTGAATGCGGGAGATATGAGTACCGACATTGTGCCATACAAGTTTAAATTGGATTGCTTGATTTGGACATGTTGAGATGTACGTTAAATTAGCATAAATTATCGATGTGTTAAATTGAATAATTGGGCGTGCCAATGTAATGTGATTGAACGTGTTATGGCATAAATTGGGCACGTCGTGACTAGTGTGTATGTTAAGGCACAAATTGAGCTTTTTGTGGTATCACTTGATTTTGTGATTCTACTTGGAAATTGGATGTTCACTGTGCATCGTGTGATTGCCCGAGTGCTGGATTGCATGGCCATGTATTTCGCATGATTGAACATTGGCTTGATTCGGGAATTGTGCGAAGGTGCGTGCCTGACATGAGCATGTGATCACCTAATTGTCTTGATGCGTTTTACGCGGGGTTCAGATAAAATTGGTTGTGTGAGCGTGTGATCATTATGAGTCCTGATACGTTTTACGCGGGACGGTACCCGGTTCTACCGGAAGATGGCCAGCCTGATGCGTTTTACGCGGGTTTTGGTCCGAATATGGAGATCGGTGTTGCGCCTGATGCGTTTTACGCGGGCTAGAGACACCGGGCCTGATGCGTTTTACGCGGGCCATGAAGTGTTGGTATTGATTAATAGACCTGATGCGTTTTACGCGGGTCGAATCTTAATTGAGAATTGAGCAGTGTGCATTATTAAGCCCGATCACAAGCATGGCATATTAGTGGCATATGTGTGCAAGAGTGTATTGGCAGAAGTGCGTACCGGTGACTCGTATGTGCGGCAGGCACTAATGAGTATGAGCATGCGTATGGCGTACGTGTGACTAAGTGTGATCGCGTATGTGCCATGAGTATCATTATGAACTGCCTAACATGCAGGGTTAATTGTGTGATCGATCTGGGCCCGAGGGCCTAGGTCAATTGATTGTTAAATGTTACTGGTTGTACGTGATTTGTTGCCTATCAGGAGGTGCATGTTAGCCTAGTTTAGGTTTAGGGGGTTTTACTCGCTGAGATTCGTCTCATTGTTGTTTAAAACCCAACTTTTCAGACCCCCAGCCTTGAAGATGTCAGAGGTTCCGGTTCGTTTTGGGATTCCGCATCAGATAGAGAAGACGATGTCCGTGTACCCGTAGGGAACGGGGAGATATATATTAGGTATTATACCTTAGTATGGGTCGATGTGGGGGAATCGCATTTTGAGACCCACGAGTATGTAGCGTGGTGTTTTAGAGACTACTCCGGGGAGTATGGACCTCTTCGGACTTTTGATGTCCCGTTTAACGGGCTGGGTGAGATGGATCCGCGGTGTCCCGACGGAGATCTGACGAGTTCCGGAGCTTCAGCCGAGGGAAGTTCGAGTTCTGGCACCGGACCTGACGTCTGGGAGGTGGATGAGCCGGACCCGATAGACGAGGAGCCGGTGGACTGGGATACTGACCCGGAGCCTATGGAGGAGGTCCCCGAGCAGGAAGGCGAGCCTGAGGAGATGGACTCTGAGGAGGAGCCGGCAGAGGCCGAGTCCGAGCTGGATTCCTTAGACTCCGAGGTGGAGCTGTCTGACAGTTCTTCATCTTCTGAGTCCTCGGGATCCGACCCGGACTGGGTTCCGTAGGGTTAGCCTTAGCTTAGATAGGTCGGGCCAGTACCTTTTTGATCGGAGCCCCATCTTAGGTAGTAGTTTCACCACCTAGCCATCTACCCCTTTTTGCAGTTAGTGGCCGTCGATCCGTTTTTTGTTCGTGGTGTATGTTTGGTGTAAATGGATAGTGTAAATGTTTCCCTGATTAATATAAATGTATATTTGTTATCTCGTTATTTGTTGTTATGCTATCCTTGGTCTCGTGTTGTTTTATTTGTTCGGGTGTTTATGTTGCTTCCGCATGTGTCTCGATCTCTGTTTGGGTTTTGGGTCGGCGACGCTTCCTGGGGCGTTGCACAAGTTCGACCTCGGCAGGGATGTTGCGCTTCGTAAGGTTCGGGGCGTGACACCTCACCATTGCGCAATTGGCATTTATTGCTCTATCGCTTGTTGCTTTACCTCTCTTTGCCTCTACTATCAAGAGGGAGCCGAGCCAAGTCTGAACCCATTAGCATATCCAGTTGGACTCACCTTCACTTAAAAGTTTAGATCAATGACTTATGGACTAACTTGAATATATTAACTGCTCCACATCACATCAATTATCCATTATGGGACTTTTCTTGCACAACTCACACATGCATCTCAATAATCTCCCTCTCACATATGAGTTTAGCGATCTGTCTGCTTCCTCTTAATTGAGATGTCCTTTTGTATCATCATATCTCAACTAGAATATGTACTCTGTTCCGACACAATTCACACTTGTATCTCAATAATTTCCCTCTCACGTGTAAGCTCAGTGCTAGGTGTTCTCTTCCTTAATTCAGGTATTAATCCGTATCAACATGTCACAATTAGCATCGATACACATTAGGGTGGAGCACTAATCAACCATCGGCTCTCATAATATTTGTTGGGAGCGTTCAGAAAAAGTGCAAATACCTTTACCTAGGGAGATTGTTAAGAGAGAGTACAAGTCCAAGCCCGTCAACATATCCAATTAGACCCACCTTCAATCAAAAGCTTAAGCCAATGAGTTATGAGCTAACTTGGATATATTAACTATTCTATACCACACCAATTATTCGATGTGGGACTTTTCTAATACAACTTACACATGTTTTTCAACATAGCATCGGTAATAAACTCATCGATTGGGCTCTGCTCGTCCAACGACCCTAACTAAAGGTTTAAAGCTAGACACAAAAGTACATTTATTTCATTGACGAAGGCTGCCCAAGTTAAACATGAACCATGTCTCCAAATGGTACAAACAGAGACTCTTCCATCATTCATGAATTGCCATTGAAATCAACAGAGCGGAGGGAAACAAAAACGGCAGGATCTATTACTTGTAGTCGTGACTTCCTCGACGTGGATCGCCATCTTCATGCCTTTTTCACAAAGGCTAGACAACGGACATGTGAAGTACATGGAGCCCGGCGTGCTCAGCATAATGGTTGTCTTGCCTCCGTGGTAGGATTTTAGCGCATTGCCTCTCCTTCAGATCTCGTAATCTTCTCTGTTCACCATGTCCACCTTGTGGCCTTCCTCGTATTCGAAAACTAAAATGATGATCATAGTCAAGTTTTTGTTTGCCATTAGTGCTTAACATACTAGCATGAAAGTTAAAGACAAGAAAGGGTTGATTTAATATAAGGCTGACCAAGGAAGTCTTTTGGCATATATTCTTTGTTTCTTTTCAAATTCATCTTTGATGGATATTGGGTTTTATGGGTGGGCCACCCATGTTGGGCTAACCCAGCCCATGACCCATCATGAGGGTCCATCTCAAGTAACTGCTTTGGCAATTATTTACGGATCATATAAAGTGGAATAAAATCTTGTGAGATAATGAGAGCAGTCATCATCAATAGAGAAAATGTATCACAAAAAAAAAACGACGTTCTTCTGAGGAAATAAGACGTTTTTTGCTCTTTGCTCTTCACCTCGACATACAATCCGAGAAACTCTCGAGCCTGTAATTGGCATCATCTAATCCGTGGAAACAAGGTACGTTCCTTTGAGTGATGTATCTATTCGATTAGCATTTGTATTTTTTCTTTGGCATGTTTCTCGTTCGTTCAAGTCTCGGTTTTAGGAACTGTTTCTTGACTATGCGAGATTAGGAACCCGTTTCCTTACATTGGTATTAGAGCCATGGTTAATATAATATTAAATGAATTGCCGAAAAATGAGAATCGGCTCCGATGGCTGCTCGGGTACGAAAATAACACCCGATCATACTATTCGGGATCGCTTCTCGGAGTTCTGTCCATCAAAAATCAATTTTGAAGATACGAGATGGTAGCTCTCATCGAGATGAGAAAAACGAGGGGTGGCACGTGCCAAGGGGGGCCGCAAAGGGCAGCCTTGCTGTCGGTGCATGCCACCCCTCTCCACAGGCGTGGCTGATGTTAGCCACGCAGGGTCATTTAGTCAGGTTGACTCGACTCGACCCAGTTGATCAACCCGTTGACCCAATTGACAGACCTGACCCGTTGACCCAATGGTCAACCCCGTTGACCGTTGACTGATCCAAAAAACGAAAGAAAGGTGGGAGCTCCGATTGAAGCATTATTAGTACCAGCGTGTTCGTAATGGAATGCTCTACATTCTAGTATATTCATATTACATGTTTTGTTGCAAAAGCCAAGCGATCGAACAATAAAATAGACAGAATAAGAAAATAAATCGGACACTAGATTTACCTAGTTCGGTCATAGTGACATACGTCCAAGGAGAGAGTAGCACGGAATTCCACTATAGATCAAGCAATACAACGAAAATTACAAACACATTCGAGTCACTCAAACACTCTAAGTATTTCCCAAGCCTTAATTACACCCGATCAATCAAACAGCATTTAGCCCCACAATTCCTCACGAAATAATCTCTCAATCTCACAAAGGAATTATACACAAATCTTGCCACAGGATTTAATCGGCTTTAAACAGTCAGAAATTTTCAAGGTGTAATTTACTAGCAAAAGCTCCTCTTTGATGATCTTCACAAATAACATCCCCTTCTTATTTATAGGCAAGAATTAGATCCAAATTAAGAAACATCTTTTTAGGAAACCTGCTCCCACTAGGAAAACTTTTCCAATTAGGAAACCTACTTTCCTTTTCGAGCTCAAAATCGAGACATGATTTTAACAATCTCCACCTTGACTCGACGTTTGAGCCAAATCACAGTTGCTTTGTCAAAACATCGCTACTACTCTCCCACAGCCCCCAATGGGCTCAACTGCCACAGATGTCTTTTAACTCCAAGCCTCATTTGAACTTCGCCATAACCGTGGACTTCATCAAAATACCAACTCCACATGCATCTTTAACTGCTTCACAAGGATTTTCTGACACAACCTCCTCAACCACAAATAAAATAAAACCATTATTGCATCAATATCTATTAGGAGATCGAACACGTTCCTTGTCAATATTAGCAGTTACGGCAACCGTTGGCTCTACAGGCTCGACCTCGCTACAAGCACCATCTGAATCGATTATTTCGCTAGTACCCGCTACCTCAGGAGTTTCTAATTGCAACTCTACCTCAAGCTGAACACCGTTTAGATCCGTATGAACACTACTACTAACACTCCTAGCCAGAAGTACTGGAGACTCGTCAAATGTAACTTTTTTCGCTGACAAAAGGTGAATTTAATTCCAAGCACCACAATCGATAGCCCCGCTCACCTTGTGCATAACCTAGGAATACGTACTTTCTTGCCCTTCCATTGAACTTACCATCAATAACTCGAACATAACATGGGCAACCAAATATTCTAATAACAGAATAATCAGCAACGTTACCTGACTACACTTTTTCGGGAGTTCGACATCCAATCGCAGTCGATGGAGATCTATTTTTCATGTAGCTACCATACTAAGTGCATCCGCCAGGAATTTCCTAGCCATACCAGCACTAGAGAGTATTTTATGGGTCGTCTTTAGTAATGTTCTACTCTTAAACTCTGCAACTTGTTGTGGTTCACTGGCACAAGAGTAGTGTCTTACTATGCCTTTCTTCATGTAGAATTTGTTTAACAGTTTCAGGCAAAACTCTATGCTACTGTCAGTCCGCACATGCTTGATCATCTTACCAGTCTTTTTTTCGATCACAGCTCTCAATTGCCTAATCCTCACAACATAATCAAATTTGTGCCTTAGCACAAACACCCAAGTCTGTCTCGAGTAGTCATCTACAACTGTTAGCATAAATCTATCACTCTTCCTCGAAGGAAACCGCGACAACTTGCGAACATCCAAGTGAATTAATTTTGCAATATCCGTGATTTCTCCAACAACCGTACTAAACTGCACTTTCTGCCATTGATCTAAATCACAACACCTGCATACATTCAGTTCATTAACCACAAAACCACATAGCAAATTTCTTTCACTTTGAAGCTTCAGGCTTTTCTCGCTAATGTATCCTAAACGCTTATGCCACAATTCAGACTCTCGAACAGATGCATCCGATGTCTTCGTGGCGAATTCCGTCATTGTTTCACCTTGAAACTCATACGGGCCACTATGATTGATTCCTCTCATTATCACCAAGGCACCTCGAAAAATTTTTAGAACTCCACATTCTGAAGAATACCGACACCCAACTGAATCCAGGGCACTCAAGGAAATTTGATTTTTCTTCAACTCTGGAACATGCCTCACTCCAGTCAATGTCTACATAATACCATCATGCCTTCTGATTCTAATATCACCAAAACCTATAACATCGCATTCAGCGTTATTCCCCAACTGCACTTTACTACTATTTGTGTACTTATAAGTAGTAAACTAGTTCCTCTTTGGTGTAGCATGAAAAGAACAACCAGAATTCATAATCCATCTGCCAAACAACGAATCATTAGTGACAAACAAG